TTTCCATTGTTCGCATGTCATCGACTACCACCGAACTACAGTTGGGTGAATTCCTCACCCCAAGGAGTGAACAATTAACGGAAATCATTTCTCCGGCAAATGAATTCAGTTCTGCACCTTCAACATACTCAGACGAAAAACTGACCTCAGCATTACAAGCTCTGTGCGTGGTTACTACTCATCACTAAAACAGAGTTCTACCGGTCACGAATAGATCGAAAGCTTGGAAACTTTACCTCATTGTAGTCGGGTGCACGAGACGCCTGTTTAACAAAATGCCAGTGGCGTTTAACAAAACGCAAAAATACCTGAAGCCGCTACATATTGCACATCATTACTGTAGATAGTCATGTTATTCAAATCAACCAGTCTGTCATGCTGCACAGACACCCTGCCAGTGAAGAGGAAGAACGAAACCACGTTCACATTCTGCGGATTCAGCCAAACTCACTGTAGTGAGAAAAAGACGACCAATTTTCAAAAGCCCTATTCTTGCCTTGGGGATCGAGACAAGCGGATAAGCATGGATGATCCGTTCGTCGTTTTGGCAAAAATCAAAGTCGCTTTGAGGAAGCTACTCACCGAGAGCATCCACGTCAAAGTTCGTCCCGCTGCCACAGAAAATCACGACGATTAGCAGGACGAAGATGAAGCGAGCCATGATGGTCGTCGTCGCCACACTCTGATATAAGATCAAAACCAGGCCGGCTGTCGCACTCCAGCCGTTTTGTCCGGTCCGGCCATCTTTCCGCGTTGTTCCTTTATTGGAAACGGGACGAACTTAGAGGCTTTCGTAAAAACACTTGCAACACCGGCCCGTGACTCATCAACTCACCGAAATGCATGAAACGGCGATCATCGTTTCTTTGATACCTGTTAAGTAGGCTAAATCCATTTCTGGTTGAACGTCAACTGAGGAACAGAGACACGTGATTTCTTCCTGAATGAGTGCTGATTTACAGAGGGGAGGCAAAGGAATATTAGAAGTTTCATATGCTAAACAACAATGACCCAATTTGCACTGAGAAAGAAAATTACATGAATTGTAGACGGAACGAAAGAGGCCAGGTCATACAAAAACTTTCGTCCGTGTGCAACGTGGATCGACATGCAAGCAGTATTAGAGAAAATAATGTGGTGTAAGATCGACGTCTTTGGAAGTATTGAAATCTGGGCCGATGTGCATCCAGAAGTTTTCCAGTTGCTTAAGCACATCTATTGCAAATGGGTTTCAAAACTAATAAAACTGTACACAGATCGAGAGCGATGATTATTTATCATTCAAATGCATACCCAAAGTTCTGCATGTTATGCCTCTGGAGTATGAATGGAAAACTTGAGGCACATCTTTATGAAGATGACCTCAAGTTTCACATACCCCAAAAGGCATGGACCCATAAATAATTTATCAGGAAATTGGCATGGTTCATTCCATCAGTAGTAAATTACAATTGTGCCTAGCTGCTGGTCATTTGACCGACTTCGTGTTGCGGTTAGAAGGAGGACCTCCAGGAATGAAGGCTGGCTGCAACAAATATACAGTCGCGGATATGCGGTAGTGAAGCCACCAGTGGTTTGCTGGGATTCAGCTAGACAAGGTCGTTCCTCAGAAAAAGGCACGATGCCTAATGACAGTTTCATGCACGTACGCAAGCTACCAGCCATTTTCAAGAATAAAAGCCCGCAAATGTGACGGCAGTCTTACGATTACCTGTCAGTTCGTCAAAGGAAGGACCAGAAAAGGAAATTTCAATTAAAAGCAAACTCAACTAGGGAGCCCACGAAATTTGTCAGATCACCTCAGCAACAGTGGGTGGCAAACTTTTATGAACAATGACACCAATAAATGGTTCAGAGACCCCTGCACATTTCTTGAAGAGTCACAAGACGCCGCCGTTTAGGTGTTTTACTGATGAGAGGCTGCAATGAATTCCAGATAGAAGGCCGCCGTTTGGCAGACAGACGACGACTTTCCCTTAAGTCATAGAACACTAAAGAGGAAGGAAACGCTAAGCCAAGTAATGGAGGGAAGATCATTGATGGCCTACAACATCCCTACCACCTGCGAAGCAGGAGATGAATGATATTCGGATAAACTTACTTAATATCACGTGACTAGTAAGAGCAGAAGATGCGAAGAACATGAGAGGAATCCGATTTCTGGTCAGCAGAGACTGGTTCTCAAAAATCTCTTTCTGCCATGTAAACTCACCATGACTGCGCGTGCTGAGTTAAACATGCAGATCTCGAATGTCTTCCAGACCTCTGCTGCCACAGGCTCGTTCGACGTGCAAGATGGAAAGAATGTTTTTCAAGTACACGACGAGGTATTTATCTCTAAGCTCGAACGTGCCCTCATCATGGGAGACTTCTGTGGCAAGGTAGAAACCTTGAGTACCGATGAAAGGTTTGTCGATATGCGTGGCACCAAAGGCGCAACGAACCAGGAGATCGCTTTTTACCCTGTCAAAAACGAAACATCTCTTTATCTGGCAACACCTGACTCAAGAAGAAGACCAGCAAGAGGTGGATATGGATCGCGTCAGATCCGGCGAAGAAGAACGAGATCTACTTCGTCTTGTTTGGTAAATTTTTGCATTATCCGGGACATAGTCATTATTTAACATCGGCAGTGATCACAGACTGGAGGACACCAGGCTAGACATCGAGGTAATGATAGAGAGGAAGCGAGGCAGATGGCGATTCGCACACAACGACCGAAAATATTCGAAGAGGCAATGATTCAAGCGTTGGAACCTCAGAGACAACTGTGACGGCCGCTACGAGATATTCGCTAAGAAACTGAGACGGAGCGAAAAGAAGGATCTCAAAGGAAACAATGAGCCTGCTACAGAGGAGGAGGAGCATGAAAAGAGATAGGACAGACACGATAGAGTACCCTATTTTTTGCAAGCTCATTACACGAAAGCTGAAGAAGAATTTCAAAACCTACGATATCGAAAATTGGAGGAAAAGCAATGACCGACAGTGCCTCAGACACAATGCAGCAGAGAGCTGGCGTTTTATCAATCAACAATCACAGCGCTAAAGAACGAATATATCGCGCAGCGAAGTCTGACAGCAATGATGGGCAGTCTATCTGCAAGAACGTGTACACTCAGGTCTTTGCGTTAAGCAACTCGCCTCCCTCCCTTCCCTCTTCCCCTCCGGAAACAGGTATTCACAGGCATCTTTGCTGATGTCACAATTGAGCACATCATCGGTGGAATGGATCGCAACACAACCGGCCATCTGTCTGTGCAAAATCTCTTCAGTCTGTCATGCCATATGTTGATCGGTTATCCCACGTAAATGTATTTGTCAACCTCTTTAAGTTT